TTATCGAAGTTGGAAGGTGAGATCAATGTATAAGCTCTAAACATAAACAGTGGTGCCGGTTATATTTATAATATTCAACCAATTTCAACTATTCATATATTTATAAGATTGGCCGAAAGTTGTGGATTTTACTGTGTCAGTAATTCGGTTGTTATCAGTGTCGTTTTATGTGTTTTCGGTAAATCCAGTGACAAGGCGTCAGATGACATATAGATCACCATGCATACAGCAAATAAACATAAAGCTTTAGGGCGATAAACCTATTGAATATAGTATAAAAAAACAACCTCTCAGCAGACCACATAAATACCACGGAACATGTATTCCTTCATATGCATTTAACTATTTATATATTAAATGATTTCAAAATAATTCTTTAACAATTGATACTTGCGTTATACATAAAATAAACTTGCATTTATTCTTTTAGAAATCATTGTTCGAATACAAGTCAAAAAATGCTGTGTCACTGAGTTTGTTGATTCATGTTGTTTTGTTAATATATCGCCCTAGCAGGTACCAATTATCTTCAGTCATGCTTTTGTCATGAATTTGTTTTTGCGTATCTGTTAATCGACTTAATTAGCTGATTATTAGCGAATTGCTGTGTTATGTCTGTCATCGTTTAGGCCTATTTGAAGTTTTGGACGGAACTTGGCTCAGTGATTCGGAACTAATTACGAGATAACCGTCGCTATTCAGACTACTCATTCTGACAGTTGGTATCCGTAGTTATTAATGTAGTGAACGATTAATCAAAAGATATGACGTATTCAGTGCTTAGTGTGATTGGCCTTATGATTGAAGGTTACGCCTTAGAGTCTTTTTACTGTTTTGTAATTGGTTAGAGTTTTGAAAATGAATAAAGAGAGTTTTGAGTTGGTCTTGGGGAGCACAGCACGATAGAAGAGTCGAGAGTCCAGTCCTGGAGAGACTTGGGGCGAGCCTTGACGCAGTCTAAAAGAGTCTTGGGTCAGCCTTGCGATAGTCTTGGGGATTTTTCCCCAGGGCGCTGTGTCTTATAGAGTGCTCGATTGACCGACTAAGACGAGAGTTGAAACGTATTTCGTTGTGTGTGTCTTATTTGACTGTAAAGTATAAGTGACTTTCCCGATCCCGCACCTCGAGGGGACGAGATATAGAGACGAGACGAGATTCCCCCCTGGCACGTGTGGAGAACCCCGAGGAGAAGAATTATTCCCCCTGATACTTTGATGGTCTTAACTTCTTAAAATAATGTTTTGAATAAAGATTGTGGCCTTGGCAATGGAATTATTCCTGAATTATGTGATCAAAGTTTTACTTTGTTAGTTTGTCAAATTACACATTGCTATACGAGTATGGCGGTTGAGTAATCGTACAAGACGAGACAAAATCAATTATTTTTTTCAGTGGATCCGCTTGCACTTGTCATATCACATCTCAGGTTTTGTTAATTTGCGCCGAAATCACTTGATCTTTGGTGGCATTGTAAGATTATCGGAAACTGTGAGTGTCAGTGTATTTTTCACTTCCGCATTCATGATAATTTTTTTACTTAAATATTAGTAAATTGCGTCTGTGTTTTCGAATGAAATTAAAGATGAGTATACACATTCAAACCTTTGGTCAAAACCATTACTCCGCTCTTCAGTTCAAAATCGCTGCCTCAATGGTTCCCCAAGGAGAACCCGATAAAAATAAATTCTTTTTCTGGTTTGAGGAACTATTGTTACCCCAGTGGAATGTTACACAATGCCTCTTTACAAGGCTGTCAGAGACTCGATTGTATTATACAAGTTACTTTCCCTTCGTCGATTTTAATCTCGTATAGACGTTACTGCAGACGTTGCTGGTGTCATGATAAGACTTCGGACAATGGATACTAAGTATGTGCTAAAATATTAATAATTATAATTATTTGCAGGTTATTACATGAGATATCAGGTCGTATTCAAGAATAATTTTTGGCATTTCCAAAACAAAAAAACGACGCAATATCGCATTTGTTTGATTTCCCGTTCTGAAGTAGGCCATGGAACGCTAGGCAGAGTATGTGATGTACATACACTTAATCTTAAGGTAGAGATGCAGGTTCTAGGGCACTTGGGAGTGATTTTTTTTTTTTTTTTTTTTTTTGCATTTTATTATTCAAACAGTCTTGGCTATAGACTGTTAACATTCTGTAGAATTGTGAATAGTGGAACATACTCAAAAAACGATTTTAAAATATAGATAACAGGTGCAAACATTATCTCTTTTGAATGCTTAGCAAGATTTAGCAAGGCTGTACATAAATAATAAAAAGAAACATGATGAAAAAAGAAATGACGGGATCTCCATATTATGCACTATATTTAACTTTTAACAAAACGATAATACATTTAAATTTGGAACTGTTACAGTCATTTCAATTATGAGCATTAGCAAACTCCTTACTGAGTGAATTGTTATGCAAATTAGCAATTATCTCAGCTTCTTTTTAGTGCACATCCCAGAACTTTAAAAAAAAATAGCTCCTAGACGCTTTGACCTTGTGTTTTGTAATTTTGACAAATGATTGACAATGTGTTTATCTTCAAAACGCCGTCGGGGCATTGTTTTTGGTTGAACAGTGTTACAACAATCGTACAGACAACTAGCCTGGGTGTTAATTTATGCATAAACTTGAAGTAGTGAAATTTTAGCTGCTGCCCTGCAAAATTGACAACTGGTAGACAGTTTTCAAGACGGCACTTTCTTCATAGTAAACAGATGTACCCATAAACCAATTTCGACAGGAAACAGAAACATGGGTTAGAAACTAATTTTTTTTAAATCACTTTTGACCAAAAAAGCACATTTTTGTGCATATTTCAAATTACAGTGTCCATAAAAAAAATACTAACAAAAGTTTAAAATTCATACAATAAGCTGTCCGAAAGTATATAGTTTTGTAGACAAGGGAGGTCATCTTGGTTTCCTAATTAACTAATTAAAATACCTGCCAGGTAAACTGCATCTCTACCTTAAGCCAAATCGTAAGCAAGAGTTCTGTCTCACACTACGTGTTCCCTATCAGACAAGTCGTCGAATTTGTGGTCTATTTGTACCTTAGACGAAATTGTCAGAAGTTGCCTCACTGTTGCCTTGACTACACATAATCATGTGTCTGTGTATTGCTAGGAACATTCACAATGCAACCAAAGCAAGAATCATTAGAGTGTGACTTTGGTGAAGACGACAGGTTTATACAACTCCTGGTCATGTGGTTCATTCTTCTGGCCGTGTTTTTATTAATGAAAACACCACAAACAAGTGTTGGTTATCGGCTATAACGCCACCTACGGTCACAATCTGTAAACCGTACATGTACGTACTGGTATTCATTACCTACTCTATGAGGAATTTGGTTGGGACGGCGATATAAATGTAAATCTTTGAAGATCACGTTCATCGTCACGTAATATGCACTAGGATGCACTGAAAACAATCCAAATGTACCCATATCTTTGCACAACTTTGCAGGATGTGTTAACAGCTTAGAGCCATTATGTGCCGACTGCCAAAACTAGTGGTTTATTGAAAATACGTGCAAATTTTAAAACTTTACAGAAACTTAAAAAATGAAAATAATCATTGTACTATAGATATTTAACATCACAGTAATAAATAATAAACAAAAAGTTGAATTTGTACACCTTGACTTCCGTCTTCATAGTGCATTGCACATTCTGGTATAATGGGTGAAATCATTTTAGATTGTGTGTTAGCGAGACTTAGGTTACATTCACATATATACCACATATGCAGCATCATTATTACCACGTGTCACAGCATACCATATTTAGTCAACATGTGGAATGCTTTATGGAGACCTAACGTGAAAACATCTTTTCTGTATTTTTTTTATTGGTTTATATATTATAATATATAATGCATCTGTGTTACAAATGAATCATAGCATGTAATTACGTTATACCTGTCACACCATGTAACAATCAATTGTTTAACAGAGCGGTTAATTATATTTTCTTACAATTCACTAAAAACCTTTCTAATACAGAACAGTAAATTGAACGCAACCAATGCAATGGAACGATCACAGCGTCAGCCGTACAAAAGCAAGTCCTGTGCCAACTTCAGATTACTAAAACGCCCTCACGAGTCTTGTCAGAAGAACGTTTTGTTTTTAAACCATTGATACAGTTTTGGGCCAGTTGGTGTTTTTAATCCGTCTATTATAATAACCATTAAATCTATATTCTATAATTGACTGTATAATTGACTGCTCGAGATATCGTCTAAAATATCCAGATGAAAACAAATAAAAGTCAACAAGAGAGGGCGCAAACACAATCCAATGACATAAACACGCAGAACTCGTGTAGTGCAATGATCAACAAAAGCAAATTGCACTAAGTTAATATCATATCGCTAAATTTAAACATCATTACGTATATGTTCTATGAAGCGGACCAAAAGTGAGAACGCTGGGAAAAATTTTGAAATTACAAACGTGCGTGTTTGTGGCGGTGTTGCCCTGTTGAGGAAACATATACACATCTTTATTGTATTCAGTACTGTTATTACTAACCTAAACTCACATGCAAAACAATAAGTGGTCTATTTCATTCGATAAAATACATTTTTGAAAAAACTTCAATAGTCACGTAATTTATTGAAGCTGTTTGAATTTTTTTTTAATCAAACTTTGTATTGTATTGAGTTCCAAAATACAGAGCATTAGATTGCAATGTGTGCAGCCACGTTATACTGAAACATGATTGTTTCACTCATTGGTTGTTTGCAAAAACGTGTTTTCTCCATGTGCGTCGGGTAGTTACATCATATGACATAACCGGGAGTCGATGCTGGTCTGAAATTGAAAAAGCCAGTACCTCTACCAACCTTGTGACGTGCTAAGGCCTTCAAACATGAATTATATTTTAGTGTGTATGTCTGCAACCATGGCAGTTATTTACCGCGTTGAAAGCAATGTTCACAGACTACTTAGTGATCAAATTTTAAGACATGACAACTTAAGAAAACAAATATTTATTGGAAACGAAACAAAACAAAACACGACAACCAAAGTCAAACTGTATAAAATAAAAAATATATATATCACACATATACAATCCAAAGTATTAATTAAATAAATAAAAAAGTAGTTACAAAAGTACATAGCTAGGTTACCCATAATGCATTTGGTTCGGACGAATAAATCTATTGTTTCCACAAAATAAGGAAACTCGAAAACCTCGAAATGTTTGAGTAAATATTACGCAAGGAACAAGATAGAGTCTTAACGTTTCACACGTTCCAGTTTAAAGAGACACTTTACGGCGAATCAATACACTGTAATCAAATGCCATGCAGTCATTTAAAAAAAGATCATACCTTGCCGAGTTAAGTGTGATTAATGCTATAATATGAAATCCCTAAGTTAGTTGAAAATAACACATTCGGTTTTGTTATCTGATGATTTCCGGGCATATGATACGTGATGTCAACACCAATATTGAATATATTCAGCTTTATTATAAAAACTGTAGTATCCTGTATATAATAATACCCTTAACTATTTTTAGCGTTTATTTCATTGGCTTCACTAAGCATTACGTCATTATTTAATTATTTGTGGCTAAATTCTGTTCGGACAAAAACAATAAAATAGCGACAGACGTATTGATAACTATAGTGGCGTTAAAATTTTCAATAAACTTATCAGGTTACCGCTGGCTATTATTTGTCAACGCTCATATGGAAACCTGACAAAGAGGGCGCTGTTACCACTAACTCCGAAATGTTCACGCTGTGTTTTCTCCTTGACAGGAAGCCTCTTTAGTAGTGTCCGATTGTGAACGTATTGTTATTTGGCCGAGTAGTTAATGCTTGAATTATAGGCACATTTTAATTTTTAAATAATGGTTAGTTTCTGATGTTTTTTTTATATTTTTTTATGAAGATATAAAACAAAAACAATATTCACAGAAAAGTAAACAATTCCGGTATTTCGGTACAATAGTGGAAACATTATTTATAGATTTATTAATGGTTCGCCGAACGTATTATGTGATTCATACTAAATACATTATAATATGAGGTTTTTACGAGGATACCGAAATGTATATAAGTATCCACGTAATAATCTTATATATTCCTCTCAAAGATACATCACGGGAATGCCTAAAGACAGAAAGTTTAGAACAGAATCAGCGAACTTCTTTGCGTGGAGTCCGGTCAAACCCTGGAGGCAGCCATGTTTGTTTTCATTACAAGAGGACACTTACGCGCATAATCGTTCCATATTTGGAATTCGCATTTCCTAATACGGTAGGATGAGAATATCCTGTAAAATACCGCAGAATTACGGCACGCTGTAACTTTATGTCGTTACGGTGACAGATGTATAATAATAAATTATTTTATAATAATGTATTAATTATCCTCAATTCTTTTTAGTTGAAAGTTTTTTTTTTCTGCTCCCTGGTTGGAATAACTGAAATTACCGAAGTGTACAAAATAACTGCTAGGTATGCGCACCTGTTAGGGATAAAGACGTGGCAGAGTAATCGATAACAGCTGCAGCAAATCAGATCATGAATCCGCGTCTGAAAATAGATGACAAGTGGTCACATGACGTCCGTCTTATTCTTTCCGTTTCAACTTGTGTATATATCATTATGTGGCTGGTCGAGTCATTCCAAGTGAAATCACATCATGTCTGTCGTTTATAATACAAGGTTTCAAAAATAAATTCTACCACACAGCGCTCAACGTTTCAAACGTCTCTTAATACGTTAAATTTCAAGCTGGGGGGGGGGATTGCGGACCGTCCATACTTATTTTACGACTTTTTTTATGTTTTGCGAATTTTATTTTTATTGTTGGGAGAAATATGTTGAGATAATATGATGGTAATGTACTTGGATTTTTGACATTGAACTCTGTGTGGAAGAAATTTAAAACATGATTAGTTCAATTAGAGTTTGTTTGAAACTTAAGACAATAAAACAATATTATATTGAAAACTACATTTTTGAAAAAAAAATAAAAAAAGTTAAGATACGGCGATTTCATTAGAGCTGCCGAATTCATGTGTTATTACGTAAAAAACTAGCATTCATTTCGAACCCACCCACGTTCAGAAAAATTATTGCTTATCGGTCCGCAGGATTTAGTGACAATATAAAATTTAACAACGCAAATATATTTTACACATTGCTGGATGCTAGCGTGTATTTCATTATTTAATAATGTTGACCCAAACTAACGTGCGTGCATAAACATCTGGGTGCGATGATGCAAAAACTTGGTGCGGTAAAAAGGAGTTACTGTAACAATCATTGCAGCATCCACAGACATTGCCATGCCAACCGCATCATGCTTGTGATGTCTGCCAATACACACGTCGCCATGGTTATGGTTAGACTGACGTTTCGTACTCCGGGCTGTTCTGGATGTAAGCTGTGTTGTTAAACCCTCCCGTCAAACAGGGAAACTTTAGTGAACCGGATATAGCTGTGACGAAACAAACGTAGAAACAAAAAAAAAGAGAACAGGAAAAAATGGGTTAGACAACAAGAACGCAGACACAGAAAAAAAACATGACTGCACAATGAAAACAGATACATAGAAGCAGGACATTATCACATTCCAATATACTACACATACATTTCTAGTTACCCACACACATATATATACGATTATCAAAACACAATTCAGTATGCAAAAGTGCACAGCTACATAATAGATGGTGTTAGAGAAAAATTAAACACACATGCAGTGTATGGATTCATTTGTTTGTGTACACTATTTTGCTTCACACAACTAGAAATACCGAATATGACGTTCCAGGAAATGACGTAAATAACACAGAGTGACAGTGTTTTCATTGCCTGATTGTATCTGCACATTTTCTGACAAGAAGCAAGACAAGTAGATTCGAACTTTTCAAATTAATTTGATTTTTTAAAATATCCATCATAATCTTATCGAATTAGTTATAATGATTTTGTACTTTTAAGTGCGTTGTAAACAAATGTTACGAAATAAATTTCCCGACAACATTTTAAAGTTATTTTCTATAACATTCGGTTAATTTCATCAATCTACAAGGGTTTAGTCTGCGAAAATTGACTTTGACTTTGACCTACATAAGTGTTAAGCTAATTTAATCTACTTTCCGATTGATTGAATGGTATCGATGGTTTTATGAAAGAAATGGACAGAGTCACGTGTCAAATGATGCCAAATTATCACTTAAAATAATATCACATATCCAATATTCACTCCGATTTTAGTTTGCAAGATAATTATTAAATATCAGATAAAAAAATCAGGTTTTGTTTTAAAATATTTTGAAACATAATTGGTAAGAATATTCAAAATTGTTGTTAGTTAGTAACTGATTAGTATTAACTGATAGTAGATACTAATCAAGATTAGTAGATACTAATGGGTCCTAGTAGATAATAATTGGAGAGAGTAAATAGTATTGGCGCCTAGTAGCTAGTAATGCGATCTAACAAAGATGAAGTATGTGACCGGTTGTCACATAGTTGAACATGATGCCTTGGAGGGGGAGGGATCTACAAATTGGATTCTACTCGCTGATTTGTTGTAGTTTTGATTTCTCACTTGATAGGTGTACGTCGGCGCTGTCAGGGCGGTTTGGCAGGTGTGTTCCTGCCGCTCCTCTACCAGATGCGATGCTGGCTCTAATATCCACCACGGAGAGGCCAGATGTCAGACTAGGTGTACTACCACCGTGACTACGAGCTTTCAAACTCTCGACATCACTGTCGTCTTTAACCGGGGTCCACTGGTGCTGGAAGTCGGCCCTTCGCGCGTCATCTCCACCTTCGACGTCGGTCGTTTCCGTTGCTGGCTCCTCAGTTATCTCGTGGACGCTGTCGTGATGGGACCCAGCGTTCAGTGAATATAGCTTAGTCATGACGTCTTTGCCAATGATCGCTTCGAAGACTGCGCTCAGGAACGGTTCCCTGTTAAGGTGGTTTTCCAACTTCTTGCGCGTCCACTGAATATAGCGACACTTTTCAACGGCTGTAATAGTAACCTACAAACAGGAAATTACGTCAGTGTATAGATATATGGTATATTTACTTAGACAGGGATCCTTTAAAATACGTTTGAGTCGAATTGTGCTTTTAATTATGGTAACAAAAATAGGATCACTGAGCTTTCTCTCAGGAGTAAGAAATGTATTGGAAAAATGCGGTCGTGTATTATTCACATAAATCGTACCGACAATACTGTTAAAACATTCAAAAAGGTTTTTTTTCATTATTAGAAGTACTCTTCATTACTGCATGTTTGTGCAGTAACAAACTCTGTAGTGAAAAATGTGATCGTCAATAATCTATTAAGGTATAGGAACATAGGTGAGCTGTGTCCACTAGATTTGGATTCTCACAAAAACAGACCAATTATTTTTATGTCAAATGTTATTAACAGTAAATTCCCGTACCTGTAAATCATGTACGTTATTTTTATAGTACGTACCAGTAATTCATGTACGTTGAATTGATAGTACGTACCAGTAATTCATGTACGTTGTTTTTATAGTACGTACCAGTAATTCATGTACGTTGAATTGTACCACTAATTCATGTACATTGATTTGATAGTACGTACCGGAAATTCATGTACGTTGCATTGATAGTACATACCAGTAATTCATCTACGTTGTTTTTATAGTACGTACCAGTAATTCATGTATGTTGAATTGATAGTACGTACCATTAAATTATGTACATTGATTTGATAGTACGTACCAATAATTCATGTACATTGATTTGATAGTACGTACAAGAAATTCATGTACGTTGCATTGATAGTACGCACCAGTAATTCATGTACGTTGATTTGATAGTATGTACTAGTAAATTATACACGTTGATTTGATAATACGTACCAGTAATTCATGTTAGTTGATTTGATAGTACGTACCAGTAATTCATGTACGTTGATTTGATAGTATGTACCAGTAAATCATGAACGTTGATTTGATAGTACGTATCAGTAATACATGTACGTTGATTTGATAGCCCGTACAAGTAGTTCTTGTACGTTGATTTGATAGTACGTACCAGTAAATCATGTACGTTGATTTGATAGTAGGTACTAGAAATTCATGTACGTAACGTTGATTTGATAGTACGTACCAGTAAATTATGTACGTTGATTTGATAGTACGTACCAGTAAATTATGTACGTTGATTTGATAGCACATATCTGTAAATCATGACCGTTGAATTGATAGTACGTACCAGAAATTCATGTACGTTTATTTGATAGTACGTACCAGTAAATCATGTTCGTTGATTTGATGGTACGTACTAATAAATTATGTACATTGATTTGGTAATGCGTTTCAATATATTATGTAACCTGATTTACGAGTACGTACCATTCGTTACACGTTATTATAGAACAACGACTAATAGCATTATTAGCAAATAAATAATACCTGGAAATGGTTTCCCGACTCACGTGAGCAAGACTCCCATTCTGGAGAATCCAAAAACTGATTCTTGTTAACATAATGAAGAAAAGCGCCCTCTGCAGTTACCTTCATCCTATTGTGATAAAAACAAAAACACATGAACTATAAATTACGTAATTGCGCGTCCCTGTTCAGTTGAGCCAGTAATACATGTCAGTGTTGTTATGGAACGGTGTGATTCTCGTCGTTAACTTATTCCTTCTTGTTCCATGCCCTCATTAATCTCCATCATATGCAGTAATAAATCAACAGACGATATAATATCGTTCCTGTGCTCTCGGCATCTTATCAATTTCAATTTTCATAAAATAATTTTGTTTTGCTTATTTATTTCAATTATTTTAACCTGTCGTTGTATTTAATGGGAAAATATGTTAATTTGCCAAAAATTAACAAAGAAGCTTTAGAAAAATACATAAAAATGTGCAAAATGTGACACAAAATTATTGGCGGGAAATTATAGTGTTCAAAGCGTTATTATGTATTATTTTTGTTTCCAGTATTGTTGTTGTTTATATAATATGAACAAGTTAGTGCGAACATTTCTTTAGTGTTTAACTGTTACAAAACATTATTTTTTTTTATTCAAAAATAATTTACAAACCTGCCGGAAAGTAATAGTCCCAATCGTTCGTCCACCAGTGACTTCCCTTCCACGGCATAGTGACCAGTTTTATCAAGCTCGTACAATTCACCATGCCTGCCAACTAGTCGTTTGAACTGCTGAGGGGTGATGTTGAATGGTTTGAAAAATGTCTCGTACGCCTCTCCCAAATCATCCTCGAATTCCACAGGTCGGATGCCGTGAGCCACATACACCAGCTGACCGACGTTGATGACGAAGAAGACCAAGTTCCATCCCAAGGCATCGGGCCAGCAGCTTACAGGGCCGGCCCAGAATACATGGAAGAAAAACCCGATACATAACATGAGTCGTAGCCACAATGTCTGATAGGTTCCGATATTCGCCGGTACCAAAAAGCCGAGCAGCATCCAAAAACCGCCGATTTGATAAACGCCATGCTGAGGATCAATAAAATGGACACAAGAACCGTCAGCGCCCGAGGCGTTACCGTGGGTGATTGCTTCCGCCGTGGTGAGATAGTCATTCGACCAAGTCGTTATGTCCGCAGTCGCCATCTTTGACAAGAGCTGTGGAAAATGCGAGGACGATTTAATGGCTTCTTTGCCGCGTGACGTCACACACTGTTCTTCTCAACCTCGTCGACTCCGATTGCAGCCTGTAAATATCAGATGAAGACGTGTGAATCTCAAAGAGTTCAAAGGTCAGATATACGATGCCGATAAAACTTACTATGCATTGCATCATTCTATGCTAGGTGATGAGACTACTTGGATTGAGGCCAGCTACATAACGCTTTGACTCGGGGAGTCTACTAGTAAAAAATCAAAACAGAAAAAGATATGATGTACGTAAGATATGATATGCAGTCACATATTCTACACATGAACGAATAACAAGATTACGTCACCCTGGAAACAGAAATCCGCGGTTAGATTTCCTCAATATTATCATACCGCCACATACATACAAAACCGACTTTTCGAACACGCGACAATACATTAGAGTCAATGTAATAGTATCTCATTATTATGAGAATCATATTATTACAGAAAATGTATGTATCGCCGTTTCAGATCACCGTCTCTTCAGTTAGCCTACCGACGACCTCGTTGAAATTCGAGTGCTACACAGATGGACAATTTCACATTCCGCGGACCAACTTGAAAATGCTCAACTCAATTATCCGAAAAATGTGAAATATGTCTTCATGCAAAAAGAAATTACGACATTCAATTGACCCGTAAACAAAATCGCTGTTACTCCGAAAAGTATGTCCAACATAATATAGAAACCGCATGCATCGTATTTTAAGGCAAAGCGCCCTCTGTCGACGGATTCAAAGTATTTTCAGTGAGTATGAGTAGCTCGCGTTCTTAAGTATTTGTTATCTTTGTAGAAACAAATAAACTGCGTTTTGGCAGAGAATACGCCAAACCAATAAACACAGCTGGGCGCCATGCAGTATTGGGTGTCAATTGTGAGTGGTGTTTAGTCCACGAACGAGCTAATATTTAAGCATGGAGGTAATGGCCCTCCACGCCCCCGGGCCTTCAAGTTGTTATCGAATCAGATTTACCCCGTTTTTTAGCCAGTGCTCAGTGCTCGCACACGTTTTCCTAGTTACGGCTAACGTGTTTTTAGTTCCCCTTGCGCGACCGCAACTTTGGTTAGCGTGTCAGCCTGCAATTCAAAGTTCACGACAGAAACGTTAACACATGTGACCTTTGATCCCGGACGCAAATGTCGCCGACTGTGGAGACGGGTATGCTCATTTAACCAGAATTGTATAGAATGGTGTTCACACAGCGACCTGGAATTAAACTGAGATGGCGAGGTGGGGCAAACAAAAATAATAATAATTTCATAGTTATGTCACTAGTTTACCTTCCTCGTCTGGGCATTTTTATAACTACTTCAAGTTTAACTTTAATTCGACATTTCTCACATTCGACATTTCCCGCGATGCTCTATAAGTTCTAAGCAAGCATCATTCAGAAAACTATGGTAACACATCATACGTCTACTATCTCATGACGTCACATAAGTCAATATTGTGATATCCTTTCACCATATAGGTGTGCATTAGTTATTGCTATTACTGACTCGAGACGAATGTGCGCGTTGTAAATGTGATGTGACACCACACGTTTCACTGACAGCTCATCAACTAACATATGTGGGAACTTTACATGAAATGTAATCAGAATGTTACGAGACAATGTTAACTTTATGTAAAAAATAAATAAAAAATGAACATGAAATGAACATAATTATATCTGATAGAATATTTTGATAAAACATCCGGTTATGATTTTTTTTTTTAGAAATTAAAACCCTCCTCTTCCTGGCAGTAAATATAGATGGATGGAATGTTGAAAATTTCTAACGCGCACCTGTCATGGATTTACTTGTATATGTGTATTTTCAGCATCAAAATTAAAAAAAAACAAAAAAAAAAACAATACATTTTCTTTTACGATGTATCTTGCCCAAATGTTTTTTATCGAAGTCAATTATTCAAACACGTTCAGAAATACTCAGAGTCATACGAGACGTGCGACATCGGTTTACTGTCAACGGCTTGTCCGGTTTTATATTCGTCCCTGAGATGTGTATGTCTTAAACTCATATAGTTCTATTAGAAATATTCATGGAATGCGTCATAGAGAGATATACGATGCGACAACTGTAAATAGCGAACATATTGTATGTCCTATTCTCTGAGAACCTACTGCAAATGGTGAAACGTAGTCAGTTGTTTTTTTATGAATACACATGTATTTGTAAATTCTGATCAGCGGCTGCTATACTGACCGGATATGAGCAGTTTTGATGAGCACAAGTTGAGTTTTTCTCTCATGTGTCTGCACAGGCCATTATATGTATCTGGTATTCAAGTCTCTCCGTGTCATTATAGATGTAACACGTATCGGTGACTGTGTAGGTCATTATAGATGTAACACGTATTGGTGTCAGTGCTGCAGGTCATTATAGATGTATCACGTATTGGTATCGGCGCAGGTCATTATATATGTAACACTTTTTGGTGTCAGTGCTGCAGGTCATTATAGATGTAACACGTATTGGTGTCAGCGCAGGTCATTGTAGATGTAAAACGTATCAGTGTCGGTGCAGGTCATTATAGATGTAACACGTATCGGTGTTGGTGCAGGTCATTATAGATGTAAAACGTATTGGTGTCAGTGCTGCAGGTCATTATAGTTGTAACATATATTTTGTCAGTGCAGGTCATTATAAATGTAACACATATTTGTGTCAGTGCAGATCATTATAGATGAAACACGTATTGATGCCGGTGCAAGTCATTATAAATGTAACACGTATTGGTGTCGGTGCAAGTCGTTATAAATGTAACTAGTATTGATGACGGTGCAGGTCATTATAGATGTAACACATATTTGTGTCAGTGCAGATCATTATAGATGTGACACTTATTGGTGTCGGTGCAAGTCATTATAGTTGTAACACATATTTTGTCAGTCCAAATCATTATAGATGTAACACGTATCGGTATCGGTGCAAGTCATTATAAATGTAACTAGTATTGATGACGGTGAGGGCACGTATTGGTGTCAGTGCAGATCATTATAGATGTGACACTTATTGGTGTCGGTGCAAGTCATTATAAATGTAACTAATATTGATGACGGTGCAGGTCATTATAAATGTAACACGTATTGGTAACGGTGCAGGTCATTGTAGATGTAACACGTATTGGTGTCGGTGCAAGTCGTTAGAAATGTAACTAGTATTGATGTCTCGCTTTTTCACGTCAAAATACGGCCACAGGAAACACCGCCTCACTCGTGAAATAACTTCCATACCACACAAACACCATGGCGAGGCCATAACGTTCAGTCATATTCATTAATGTTTCCCCTTTAAAATAAATATTTTATCAGCTCGCTTCCCATCCAAGAAACTAACTCAGAATACAGCGCCGCCATCAGAGAGGTGGTGTCACTTGTCAAAGTATAAGCTACATTACACGTATGGGAAGCATGTCCGGCGCTGGAGAAACTAGTCTCGCTGAATTTCCGCACCTCGTTCGCGATACATCTAATAGCTAGACTATTGGCCAACACCACGCCATGTGCGTACGCTGCCTGACAACCACTGTATTATCGAGCGCAACTTCGATGCGACTATAGTTACAAATTATAGCAAATGATATTCATAAATGTATTTTGTAGCAAATTAAATTGACAAAAAGTCATGCGTTGCCATAGCAATGTCGTTTAAGGCCTGTTATATTTTTAATATCGGACAATAAACGTGGTTATTCCTAGTGAATAGGCGAAGATTAACCAGAGGAACTGATGCAGCAATCACCGTCAGTCATTAATCATTTCATTAAACACTTATTAATTATGACGTCGCCCGTCAGTGTATGGTAATGTAAATTTCATCGTCAGTTTCGCGGTGATAAAAGGACGCGCATGCGCGGTAGATGGCAAACCTCTGTACAGTTCGATTCGTTTATACCTTTCCATATACCAATCATACTAAATATCGGACGATCTCTCGCTTCATTTGACTTAAATCGCGTAATTGAATATGCTCAATAAATTTTGAGAGAAACTGAGACTGATCATGCGTTCACTTACCGTGACCATCATCGAGCAGAAGTTCGCCTTCTTTTATATGGCCCACGAATACGAAATCTCCTACCGTGACCACGGCCAAGAGTCGTTATAAAACGTACTACGTGGCTTGTTGAGCACCCCTAAGTCAACGTATTATTTATCAAGAACTGCTATTTTGAATGTAAAATACCCGAGTAATAATTTCAGACAAAACTACACGGAGTCGAAGAGGTTGTCTTTATATGACATTTAAATGTGAATTAAAAACAAACTAATTCGACCGAACATGTTTTGGGCACTTTTCTTGTAAATTTCCATCGTAAATATGAATCCATCAATAATAATTAATTAATTAATGGATCAATCAACCAACTACTAGTCAATATACTGACCAATCAATCAATGATCTCTCTCATCATAATCGACTCAATTGACAATTTTATTTTGAAAAGTCGAATACCAAGCATATTTCTCCGAAAGATTTTAACTTAACCGAAAAATGTCAACGTCACTGTGGTGAGGTGCGTAAAAATCCAATCAGTGTTCAGTGTTTTTTTTCCGGTGTTTGTGCAATTGTTCATTCCTGTATTGTGCATATGCAACGTGTTGAGAACAATCTTAATGATACCCACGTACTACTACACAAACATAAACTTTATTCCGTAAAAATACGGGCTCGCGTTTACTAGTGGTAACCGATATAGTCCATATAATCGTGATCTTCGCTGTCAATTTGAAATATTTTGCAATTATTGTCTACCCCAGAATCACTAGCTAGACATAGGTATTTTTTGTTTTTAAAATCGTGAGTTCAATTTTGACTAGCTGTCTTTGCTTCATGTGTACATAAGGCTGTACTCCCGACAAATGAAATGATTTGTTTAATCTTGAGACGCTTGCACGATTCATTAGTTTTCGTAAATCCAAAATTTAAATGAGAAGTTAGG